AGAAAATGGTTATTTCACTATCTTCCGACAAAGCAGTTTGGGATGCTGTTTTGAATAATGAGGCGGTTCGGGAAATCAGAGATTCTCTAAAACAAGGTTTGTCTTCTTACAAAGATATTGAATACAGTACCTTAGGATATTACTTATACACGTGATTGGAGAAAATAAATGATTTACCCAATAACACCAGCAAGAGAAATCCCTTGTCCCTATTTATAGCAACCCATAATTCAGAGTGTCAGTTGTCAATAGTACAGTTGATATATTTTGACCACACTACGTTTTAGTTGATGCAGCCGATAATGGATTACCAGCTGGAAGTTCTGAGGAGGGTTTTGATAAGTCTGACAGGTCTGATGGGACAATAGATATAATCAGTTGGATTGTTGTGAACACTAAGGAAAAAGTGATGGAGATAGTTGAGAAGATCATAGAGTTTGTTAATGAGTGGTTTCAGCCTCCTGAAGAGGAAAAGACATCAGAAGGGAATAGTGATCCATTTGATAAAAAGCTGAGAACTTCCTTCTTCCTTTCCGTTGTAGTTTTGCTGGTTGTGGTCGTTGCTCGAGCACAATGTGCGTAGTCATCACAATTTGACGACATTACAGTTGGTAGTCCCCCCTTTCTCTACTTTTGAAAGCGGGGAGTTACAGTTTACCGTTTTTATACTTGAGAGAAGAAACCAGTATGGTTTTTTCGTGTACAAAAAAATAAATTGTTTACCCGGAATTTTCATGCTTTTGTGTTCTTAAGGATTTCTTCAGTTTTATTGTTCTCAGCAGTGCCTCCCCCGACCCCCAACCCCTCCTGTCTTTCCACCTTGTAAGTTGTGTGGTATTTAGCTCCGTCTCGTACTGTCAATATGTGAAAATCTGGATTAAAAACGTTCAGACTTACTCTAGCTGATTATTGTGTTGGTAGTCTGAAAGAATTACTATCTTCCAAGATACTGGTAATTTGCTGAAGCCAGATGCTGAAACCATTGATGCCATTGCCTGAAGAAAGCCAGGTGCCATAAGTAAGCTCTGCCCGGAGCATTGATTTCCATTAAGAATAGGCTGGCTCTGTGTTGATTTCCGATAACTAGTAGATTAGCTCAATCTCTCAATCACCTATCCTGTGCACTTTCTCGACTACTGTTTACATGAGACTCGGAATATTTCTACGCTATGAAATGATGGGTGTTAGACTCTTTCTTCCTTTTTGTAATAGTAGGATTATGAGCTACTCTGGTTAGACAAGTGAATGACCTTCGGCATTCAATCTGCTTGTCAGAAGCGGTCTCTAGTGGCTAAAATTGAAAGAAGTGANCTTATTTACGTATTTACAAGAATGAATATATTTTATGCGTGAGAAGAAGAATCCTGAGACTCAGATCAAGCACCTTTTGTTCTCGTAGAGCCATACTCTTACAAACAAAAATTATGATGAAACTGGATGCTATACTTGGAAATGGAGTTCGCTCAAAGTAGGATTTGCACCAGCGGTCGATTTTACATGTGCTATTCAAGTTATTTTCAGTTTTTCTCAAAATATTTAATTTGTAACGAGTGTTGGAAAACTTCCAAGTTTCAGTAGTTTTGCCAACTTCAGATATTAAGGCCTGTCAACTTCAAGTCTAAAATTACCAATCTTCATACTTGATTGTTTGAAGTCGGACTTCATTCAAGTTGACGTTCTAAATCAAACATATGAGTCTGAAGTTAGGCTTGCGTACATCTGAAGTTTTTTCAACATCATCTTATAGGTTTGAAGTTGATTCTCAAACAGCTTAACGTTAAATACTTTGTAATTTTGGCTATATCTTAAATAATAAGCGGTCATATGTGCATTTGCACCTGGTTCGAGGTGATGTTCGCTAGACTTTCTTTTCAATCGAGTTGTGAAATGAGGCTTTTCTTCGTTAGAACTAGTATTCGCAGAATTTCTAGTACCTTATATTTATATAAAGTCAAGATATCAAAACAAAATCAATGATGGTTGGTTATAACCTTTATATATTTTTACCACACGACATATATGTATTACGATACTAATTGTAATTTTTTAATAAAATTGACACAGTTCAATTTTCAAATTTTAGAAAAAATAGTTGTACCCACTAATTCCAACATTTTGCTTGTTCTTTATGTGCTTATGTCCGGTTTAAAATTTTTTAACATGTTTCTACCAGAAAAAAAGATGTTTTTATTTTCAGTACATTTCGAGAAGACTAAAATGATCGGTTTCAGTTTGTTTAATTTAACACTTTAATGTGTGTATACATACCATAAGTCAGACAAATAGACAAAAGAAAACCAAGAAGTCGAACAATATTGTAAAGAAAAGAACCATCCACCTTTTATAAGTTCCGCACTTGGCATAAAAGAAATAAAATAGACTTATGGACTCGAAAATAGTTTCATTTTATGCTTTTTATTTTTTAAAGTGCTATTATTAGAGTTCCTTGAGCACATTAAATGCGCCATAGCTACAGAAGGATTCTTCTCTCCTCAGCTTCTTGAGCATTTGTTGTGGCTAAAACTAGACTGAATTCGATATCAATCCAGTTGTGGCTTAGTAAGAAATGCACATGGCATGCTTTCATTTGTCTGATAAATATATCGTTATCGGTACGTTTTTTCTGCGTCATCTGAAAACTTAGTAGTTCACGCAACTTAGTAGTCCCGTGCTCTTTACCTTGATTCCACCTCAGGTATGGCAACAACAAGCCTCAATTATCTGTTACTCTCTCAGCCAGTTAAAACACATGGGTAGTTCTCTGTCTTTTCCTCTCTGTTAGTCACTCCTCTCTTTTCCCTGGTTAGTCAACCTCTCTTCTTCTTCTTCACCTTGCAAGTTATCTCAGTTCCAAATTTACCTCATCTTTTTAATATCATTTTCAAATCATTGTATCTCTACTTACACATTAACTTGTAATTTAAGTAGTGGCGTAGGTAGCAAAGTGCAGCTGACGAGTTACTTCATAATTTCTGCGAGTCTTTCAAACTTCCACAGCTAGTCGTTAAAAAGTAGTTAGCAATTTTTTCCACATATCACATGTGCCCAGTTCTTATATCATTTTTTCACATAATGAACGAGGATCTCCTCTTCAATTTTCGACGTTCCCATCCACAACTAGGGTGTACGAACCCAGTTGTCAACGAGCCAGTCAACACAAGTGGAAGCAATTCATTCTTGTAGAAGGTCTTTAATTCCGGTTGCCAGATCAGTCGGCAGTTCGAGACAAGGAGAATAACTTAACTTTTGATTGAGACGTCCAGAGCGGACATGATAGATATACCGTTCAAACATATGGGCACCCCATGCCCACAATGCCAAGCGCACAAGACTAGCATAAACATATACCACCAGTCTCGCGCTTCTTTTAAGCAGTGCCCAAGAACACGTGTTGCACATTTCACACTTCTGTTTATCTCTAAATTTCATTGCATCTAATTTTTCATTTAAACGTGTGATGGAACTATATTGCACCCTATCAATAAAACATGCCTAATGGCACAAGATATCAATCTTTAACATGTCTTAAGAGGAACTTCACTTGTACGCTATGAATACTTGGCCAGCATCCAACAATTTCAAAGTTGTGAAAAAGCAACTACTAAGAAGCAATGCAACTAGCTTCCCAAGCTCAAAGGCACAAACAGATCTGCATTGCTTATCATCCGGTGGTGTTCGCTCTTCCCTTAAAAGCCCTCAAAATAAGCAATAAAAAAGTAGAAATGTAGATGTACAAGCTAATAGAATACCATTTTTGCTTCCAGACTTCCATTATACTCACTGATAGAAACAGATAAAAGAGCCAAATAACACGCAACAGCGTTACCAACTCTCTCCCACTACTGACATAGCACTTGCCAAACAAAGCACAAACAACGAAGCAGAAAACGATACTCTCACAAAACAATAATATCTTTTAAACTTAATTACGAAATAATTCCTTTTCATCTTATGTTTGGTTTACCACCAGAAAAAGGAAAACTTAACTGAATACCTAAACACTAATAAACTTTGGACCGACGGTATGACCGCCAAAACAAAATAAGGACAAACGTCTAAACCAATATTGAGTAGATTCCAAGTCATCAAAAGAAGAACGAAGGCAATAATTTTTTTTTGATAGTTATGCAAAAAACAAATTGTATGACAAAAGATCAAGTTCAAATTCCAACATAAAATAGCAAATGGTTCTTTAGAACTAGGTGCTGCTCTATATGAGCTATGTACGCTTAGGAGTCGTTTGGTAGAGTATATAAGAGTAATGCTAAATAGAATGTATTAGCAATGCTAGTATTAATTATGCTTGCATTAGTTATGCTGACATATTTTTTATCCATTGCTTGGTTTGATTTATTAAAGCATTGCACAAATTCTAAAAAATTGACTGATTACAAAAATACCCTCACAACCAGTCCATCACTTTATCTTTTTAAAAGAAACATATATTGAGGAATGTTTTTTTATGAAAAAAGGTTATAAAAAAACTTATTTGATTTGCCTAAATATATTGTAGTATAGAATTGAATATTTATTTATAAAAAAAATAGGTTAAGTATTTATTTATCTACTAGGGATATAACTTTATTTCCCACTTTCTTGGATTATTTCAAACTTGCATTAATATAATCGTATATTTTAATCAAGCATAAATTTTGAAGGACAATTTTATCTTTAACTAAACTAATACATGCATTAAAACTCATTGCATTGTTAATACCATAGTTTCTTATGCATTAGTTACGCATAGGATAATGCCAAATAGGGTGTATAACTAATGCATAGGTTCAAAAAGTGTATCAAACAAGGTATTATTAATACACAAAGCTAATGCATGCATCCTACCAAACGACCCCTTAATATAACTCGTACACCAGTGACAGCATGATACTGAGTCAAACGGCCTTCTGGAGACGGGGAGCTATCCCTGCTACCAGTACACACTATTATGACAGCCAACTTAAAGAAGTTAGTTCAAAACAAAAGGTTAAAAAACAGGCCGGGGCCGGGGGACAAAAACCCAACAGCAATAATAAACCTCTACTAATAATTACACATCCTTCCTAATCTTATGTTGCAGTGATTTCCTAGCCACTACTCAATCTAAAACAAGAGTGTCCAAATTTTAAATAACCGCTTCCTGCTACACCAAGCTCCTCATGGTTGGAACAACATTGGAATAGTAATTCCCTTCTCCCCCCTAGAAAGGTTCAAGTGTTACGTTAACTACTGTTAGAAAGAAAAAATTCCAAAGCCAAGGAGGTTCCTAGTTTTCTACTGCCCATCACACTTCAAAGCTACCCATCCTCACTTCTCTCTAATGGGCTTCACCTAATCCTCCATGGCACAAAACTTTGTTAATAGACATCCTAGAAAATCTAACTAAGTTTAAATTAAACTTATCTATGAGGATAAGCAATTTTAGGACAGAAATCAGTCCAGCTCAGGGTACCAACTTCCAGTACAAGCATCTTTTCCTGTCACAAGACATCTGGAAAATGTATCAGAATTAATAATAAAAGTTAATTCCGAGACATGTGAATATAGGCGTCAAACTAACCAACTCACATACCCTGGGGACCTTCACATTTTCAAGATGCATCACCTTCGGGAGAGGAATAGCAGAAGCAAGTAGTAGGCTGCTTTCTGAGTTCTCAATATTAAAATAACCACAGAAAGGTAAAAGACATAACCAAGTTAGAAAAGAAAAGCAAAGGAGATTAGCGGTGATACGTCAAAGAGGAGAGAAACACACAAAACAGACAACAAACTGTCAGTGATTAGTAAACAAGAGATTCAAACAAATCAATAAAACAAAATTTGATAAACATATGCTGGAAGGCAACCCCCAAAACTGAGTCCTACAAAAAGTAAAATTAATATTCCATAATCCACTGATTAAATGCTCCAACACAAGCTGAAAGAACTGAAGGTCTCATCTCTCTGCATAACAGTACAACAAGGTTAAAGATGTGAGTCTGAAACTTCCAACAAATAAGTCATGGCAAGAGGAAAGAAATCAGGTGAAGTGCTCCAACACATCAGCCTGCCAAAATATCACAACATTAACAAAGGAGAACTGTTAAGAATGAAGATAATCAAGCAACAAATAAATTATTAAATGCTCGCTGCTTCAGTAAAAGAAAAAAAAACAGTAACATTTCCTTTAGCAAAACACAAACAGAAAGGGCAATGAAAAAAGATGAACTAAAAAGCAATCAAGATCCAATAGCGGGACGGGCGCAAGTTGAATATAGATACTTCTAATCTAGACGAATCTGCATAGCTTTCTAGAGTTCATTAACAAACAACCAAATTATATACAGTATACAGTTAAATTGCTGGAGAATTAGCTCTCTGATGGGTTTCTCTTTCTCTACAACTCAGAAAAATTGGGAAGAGAAATGACAAATTCAAAAGATTTTTACTTTTGATCCCAAAGCAAAGATTTGGGTGTCCTTCACATTAAACCCACTCATCACCATTTTCTTGTAGATGGAAAACTCAAAAACTCAATCATTTATGAAATTTTGAAAGAAAAAAAACCCTTAAAACCCTAGTAAAATTGGTGGATAAGAAATTTGGTTGTCCCATTGCAGAGCATAAGCGTGAGGATGAGGATGTACACATAATACATGTGTATGCCCCTAAAAGGTGACCGCCAAACAGCATAGAGAAGACCAAAATGACAATTTTGGAAACAGAAGAAACAAAATAACTTCCATACCTAATATTGCAGGGCGTTACAGCAATCCCATCATTACTTCATCTCTGACATGAACTTCTCATATTCTGCCTCCGCACCATAGGCAGGCTTCTCTGCAGATGATGGAGGTGAGGGTGCTGGTGGGTTTGGAGCCCAGGGAGCATTGCTCATACCCTGTGAATGGTCCCCATTGGACTGGGATGCAGATGGAGGAGGAGGTGGTGGTGCGACACCATAATAAGATGGATAGCTGTATGAAGATGTAGGATATGCAGGTTGAGCATTAGGTGGCATTGAAGTGACAGAATTGCCATACGCATAAGTAGGAACTAATTGAACGGGTGCACTACTCTGAGATTGCACTCCAGGAGGATAATTTTGCTGTGTCTCGCCCGATGATGTGTAGGTTTGTTGGTTTTCACCTGAAGAAACAGTCTGAGCGGGTGCACCAGAAGATGCGGGTGGAATTGGAGGATACTGCATTCCATATGGAGCGATGGGTTGACCTGGGACAGGAGGATACATGGCTGAGCCAGGTGGGGGAGGTGGGTACTGGGCATAGGGTGGAGGCATAGGTGGTCCCCATGGAACTGGAGCCCCAAGTGGTGGATAGCCACCAGTGGGAGTATTGCCAATGGGTCCACCCGCTGCATACTGCTGGGATGGGTATGCACCCATGCCCTGATTAGGAGCCGGATATAAAGGCATTGTCGGAGCAGCAGGGCCTGGAGGCATGGTAGGCTGAGGCGGCTTACCTGCAACTCTCACAGCAATGGTTCTCCCATCAAGACGATGGCCATTCATGCTAGCTATAGCACTATTAGCTTGTTGGACATCTGCATACTTAACAAATCCGTAACCTTTACTCAGACCACTTAGGCGATCCTTTATAACTTTAGCCATAACAATTGTACCAAAGGGAGAGAACAAATTGATCAAACCATCATCATCAAGAGTAGGTGGCAAGTAACCGATGTACAAGTTTGTCTCATCAAACTCCTTTGGCTTGATCACACTTGATCCTAAGCCAGGATGTGAAGAGGCACCAACACCACCAGCATTATTATTGCTAGCCCAAGGAGGATTGCCTGCTGATGTTCCCGGTCCAAGAGCTAGCGTGGCTGAGCTTTGCTTCGTTGAAGATTCGGGAACTGTACCTCCCAACTCTGCCAGAAAATTCTGATATTCATCATCCATTTTCTTGCCAGTAGTATTTTTCACTGGACAATCGATAGTGGGATGCCCCCCGTCACCACAAATTTTACACAGAACATCACTCTTAAAGGTTGTGGTGCGAGAAGGACATGCATACTGCCTATGCCCTGGTTCACCACATAGTCTACAAAACTCCTCATCTCTAATTGTTCCATTCAAAGCAGCAAGTTCTCTAAGCTGCTGCCTCTTATGTTCATTAAGCACTTCATCGACAGGCTGCAAGAGCTTCTCCACCATAGCAGCAGCAGCCTCAAGTGACTCCTGGTTCTCAGCTTCCACTAACACATGTAAGTCCTCATTCTCCGATGGGTCAGGTTTTAAATTCCCCTTTTGCTGCAACCTGCCCTCCTTGATAGACCCTTTGCCTCGAATTACAATCTTAGCTCCTGTCTCCTTTTCCATCCTCTTCTGAGTATTCCCTCTTGGACCAATAATCAGCCCAATAAAATTATAACCAGGGTACTCCTTCATGGGAATGTAGAGCTTTTTCTGAAGCTTAGGAGGCCTATAATCAGCTGGTGGCTTAAAAGCCGGGTTCTTTTTTAAGATTTCCGATATAATCTCTTGTCTCTCCCTATTCAATTTTTCTCGGGCACGGTACTCCCTAGTGTTTATACGAATTCCCATGTTATCATATATAGGTTCAGGGGAAGGCGACCGAGCACCTTCAGGCCTATCATCTAAGGGCAAACCAGATTGCAATTTCCTACTAATTTCAAGTAACCTACTGTTAAGAGCTTGGATTTCAGGATCAAACTCAATACCTCCAGTGAAATCTTTCATGAAATCAGGCAATTGAATCACAGGCTTGGGCTCATCGTCTGCCCACCTCGACTTCCTCTTCCTTCCACCAGTCCCACTTCCTCGATCACCACCGCCGGTCCCATCTTCAGTCGGAGGTGGGTCCCAGCGGCTTCTCCGTCTCCTTCTGCTGCTGGTTTCTTCCTCACCGCCTGATTGATCCCGATCAGTGCCGCTGTGAGTGTTTGTCAATCCATTTTCCGACAACAACGGCCTCTGCAGCTCGCGCTTCTGAGTCGAACCGCCGAGTTTTTGCTCCTCTGAAGCTTGATTTGAACCGGAATTATCAGGCGCCTGAACATGCGTCTCGTGATTAGGGTTTTCCTGAGAATTTTGATTGCTTGAATCCTGCGGATAGGAAGAAGCTAGGGTTTGGGAAGGGTTTTGAGAATATGGATCGGAGTAATTGTTGTAGTGATTTTGCGGAGGAAATTGATCGTCGGAAGCTAAGTTTTGTGATGAGTTCCGAGCTAAGGTTACAACTGAAGGAGATTGAGAATCCATGAAAGGAGGGAGAGAGTGCGCGAGAAATTGAGATATGGAGTAGTACGAATTTTGGAGATAACACGAACAGGGCGTGAATTTATAGACAGTGATCTTCTGGTCGGATTAAGCAGATCCAAGTATAGTAGGTTTAGAATTGGACTTTGAAGCTGGTGGCAAGTTTTGGAGTATCGAGACAAGTTGGGCAGCACAGTTTTGAATTAGTTATTGGGCCGGCCTAAATTATAGAGAAATTTTCACAAACGACGGTTTAGTGGTTATTAGCTAGTTGTAGCTATCATTTACTATATTACTTTCTATAGCTATGTTTTCAGTTTGCTAGAATGTATTCGATGTATTTAAGCTATTGTATTCACTAATACAGTAGCAAAACTTGGCGTGAAATATGGGAGTACAACTAGGTAATTATTGTATTCGACTGTATTCACGATATGTATTTGTGAATACAGTAACGTAAATAACGTAAATCGTGGTCTATTTAGCTGTTTTTAAATGGAATGTGAATTAATTAACACAAATAGACTCCTAATATAACTCAACAAACTCAATTATAAATCTCAATACATAAATTATATTAATTAAAAAAAACATATGAATACATTTATGGAATATAGCGAGACAATGATAATGAAATACATGGAATACAGCGAGATACATTAAAATACAATGAAAAAAATGACAATGAATACAATGAAATACATAGAATATAGCGAGATACATTAAAATAAAATGAAAAAAAAGGTAACAGACTCTTCAAGTTGCTCAGCCCCAAATTCAGTCGTTTTTGTTCAAGAATAACCCTAATGTCGTCTCGTCGATAGCAGATTTTGAACCTCCATTGCCAGCTCCATTTTACCCTATGTTAAATTTCGACATTGATACGAAACATAAGATATTGATTTCTAAACAGACTCTTCAACCACTAAATATAACTATACGAAATTTTCATTGCCAGCCCTAATTTATCTTTCAATAGCAGATTTCGAACCTCCATCTTCCTCTCTAGGGCTTGATTTCGATATTGATTCAGAGCCTCAGGCCACTGACAATGAAAATTTCGTTCGACAATAGAAATGAACCAGTGGAGAATCATGGTTGTATTCATGGAGAAAGATTGGCGTTGAGAGAGAGAGAGAGAGGATGGAGAAAAATCTAAAAGAATGAGAGAGAAAAATAATACAAAGCGTATTTTATGGCTTAAAGGTAGGAGGAGACCATAAATAGATATCTGACTATTAAAATCAAAAGATAGCTATGAAATATAATTTTTTAAAGGGTATTTATTTAAAATAAATAAGGTATCAACCTTTAGTACAGGAGGTAAAAATTCCTAAATTATATTTGGCTAGCTGGTAGGCCTTTTTCGTGGACCCAAAGGAAGTCGGTTTTCTTCCTTATAACATGTTTGACCAAGCTGCAAAAAACAATTTGTGTTTGCAAAGCACTTCTGAGCAACAATTACTATTGGGCCAAGCTTTTAAAAAATGCTTCAAGCGTATTTTTCTCAAAAGCGCTTTTCAAAATAGTGATTTTGAAGAGAAGCTATTTTTTCTACTTTTCCAAAATTGCTTCTGCTTTTATTTAAAAGTACGTTTTTTCTTCTAAAAACTTGTTCAAACACTTCAACGTTAAAAATAAAATGAAAAAATACTCTTAGCTTTGGAGAAGCTTGGCCAAACAGGCTTAGGAGAGAAGTAGCAGCAGCATTGAAAGAGAATCACTATAGCAATTTTGATGCTTGAGTTATCACTTTGTTCCGGCTTTGTTCCCTGTAATATTCAGCTACATACACTTACCCTTTAGTTAATCTAACAAAATTATTATTATAATAAATAGAAAAAAGGAATTGAAAAAAAGTAAGAGCTAAAAGAGACGGAAAATAAAAGAAGAGATTAAACTATCAAGTGGATGGAGCCTTCCTCGTCACCTAATTAGATCCATTCGACCTTTTTAATTTCTTTTGAAGTGGATATATCAAAGAATTTATTTTGTACTAAACAATGAGAAACCTCGCCCCTGCGATCCTACTAGCGAGAAAGCTCGTCCCTAATTCTTCACATACAACAATATTTTGTGAAAGAATAACTTTGGAAACTAAGTAGTGACAAGGGTCGTCCCTAATTCTTGGCTTGGCTGATTTCACGTAATATGTGTATGGGTCAAAATATGACCACAGTGGTCGACCAAGTTGGGACCCCGCCTGGGTGGCGAAATAGCAAGAAATACTATGACCAACTTCAGCCCAAGCATCAATAGTGTATGTTAAGTTGAAAACGGTACTCAAATAACAACGGAAAAGACCGTTGCGTGAAGATACATTGGTCAAAGAACACAACAAAGATCCAAGAACTATATATAGGAGGGGAATTCTCGGAAAAGGAGGGAGGACCTTTCCTCTCTACTCTCTCTCCAACAATTTCTTTTTGTGAAGAATGTGAACTGATTTTTCTCGCTATCTCATCAAAGATGAGATAGTAACATCAATAAATAGTGATTGTTCTTATTTTTCATTCGCGATCATCAATAAATAATGATTGTTCTTATTTTTCATTTGCTATCTTGCTCTACATTTTTAGATGTGTAGTTGATGAAGTTTGACTAAGATTTACCCCTTCATTATCATTAATTGATTTACCTAAAAAGGTTTTACTATCTTTTGGTCAAATAATTTGGCGCCGTTCGTGAGGATTTCTTATCCAAATTTCCTAGTCTCCTTCAGGTCCAAAACCGGTGAAACATAATCACCCACTAGAAAGAATGGTAGGTAAACCTTACGTGCTAATCTAGATCTTGATGATACATGAAATCAGAAGTTACAATCAATATCCACGCAAAGCTCACAAGATGAGACGACACCTGCTGCGTGATCCTATAGAAAATTGGACAAATCTTGCCCCACTTTGACACTCCCCCCTCCCGCACACCGGACGGCCCACGAGCAAGATAAGACAAACCCAACCCACACGGAGCCAAGGCATAAAAAGGGGGGGAGAGAGAGCTGAATACGGTTGCCGAATCCACAAACCACCATTCCGTCAAGCACTTAAACGCCAGGCAGAGCGAACAACGCTATAAGGCTACCCTCGTTCATCGACTCATCGGATCTAGTTAAGGAAAACCTCATCTTGGTTTACCTTATGTTTTTTGCTTAAACAGGAGCACAAGTGCCACATGGGCAAGCGAGAAAAGAAGCATTCCAACTGGATTGGAAGAACTATTACAAAATAACTTGAATGCCACCCATCTCAGACATCTCAACCTCTAGAAAGGGACGTCCCCCAAGTCGTACTCCTTCTCCTCACCCGGGTGTTGTCTCCATTGGGCTCTCTCGATGAGGTTTTGAACGAGGCATTGAGGGAGACGTCATCAAGGTCAAAGGATAGTTCATCGCCCCCCTATCGGCGAGCTCCCCAGGCCGAACGATGAAGGGGTTAAACAAGGAAATTCCAATATATACATAAAACAAACATTAGCAAAATAGCAACGTTCAAAACCCCCCATCATCACACTTTCCAATACAGACAAAATTAAGCAAACTGGGACTCACCCAGGAAACACACAAGTTAAGCAAACTGGAACTCCCCCAAAGAACACCCAAAACTCTCTAAAAAACTAGGACTCATAATGGGTTAACATTTCGACGACAACTCGAAATAACACCCTTACGGCCAAGGGCCATCGCCAAAACAGAAGAATTCGACCTCGCTCGAATTATAATGGGTTGATATTTCGACGACAACTCGAAATAACACCCCTACGGCCAAGGGCCATCGCCAAGAAAGAAGAGTTCGACCTCGCTCGAATTATAATGGGTTGATATTTCGACGACAACTCGAAATAACACCCCTACGGCCAAGGGCCATCGCCAAGAAAGAAGAGTTCGACCTCGCTCGAATTATAATGGGTTAACATTTTAACAACAACTCGAAATAACACCCCTACGACCAAGGGCCATCACCAAAAAAGAAGAGTTCAACCTCGCTCGAATTATAATAGTTTAACATTTCGATGATAGCTCTAAATAACACCCCTACGGCCAAGGGCCATCGCCAAGAAAGAAGAGTTCGACCTCGCTCGAATTATAATGGGCTAATATTTTAACAACAACTCGAAATAACACCCCTACGGCCAAGGGCCATCGCCAAGAAAGAAGAGTTCGACCTCGCTCGAATTATAATGGGCTAATATTTTAACAACAACTCGAAATAACACCCCTACGGCCAAGGGCCATCACCAAAAAAGAAGAGTTCAACCTCGCTCGAATTATAATAGGTTAACATTTTGACGACAACTCGAAATAACACCCCTACGTCCAAGGGCCATCGTCAAAAAAGAAGAATTCGACCTCGCTCGAATTATAACGGGTTAACATTTAGACAACAACTCAAAGTAACACCCCTACGGCCAAGGGCCATCGCAAAATAAAGAAGAGTTCGACCTCGCTCGAATAATAATGGGGTAACATTTCGACGATAACTCGAAATAACACACTTACGGCCAATGGCCATCACAAAAAAAAAGAAGAGTTCGACCTTGCTCGAATTATACTGGGTTAACATTTCAACGACAGCTCTAAATAACATCCCCACGGCTAAGGGCCATCGTCAAAATAGAAGAGTTCGACCTCGCTCAAATTATAATGGGTTAACATTTCGACGATAGTTCGAAGTAACACCTCTATGTCCAAGGGTCATCGCCAAAAAGAAGAGTTCGACCTCGCTCGAATTGCAACGAGTCAACATTTCGATGCTAGCTCAAAACAACATCCCTACGGCAAAGGACCGTCACAAGGGGAAAAGTCTGAACTCATTCGAGCCCGATAACACCTTTGCATCTATCAGATGTCATCATGCTTTTTTTCCTTCTACTTATTAAAAAATTGATTTCGCTATAAACTCCACGTTCGACCTCGTTCGGATGCGCAAAAAAAAGATAAGCAACTTCGCCCGAGTCAATGACAATTTGATCCCACGCGAAAGACTCAAGTCAAGACTAACTTCATCCAGAACAACGAAATTATATAAACTCACTCGAGTCAAAGACGAATCTGCTTAAAGCAATAAGTCACCAGTCGATTCCGCCCCAAACAGGCGAATCGAATGAGACTCCATCCGAACTCACGAGGAAGTCCTACTCAGTCCAGTTAAAATTGGTTTTCCTAAAAAATCAGGAATC